TGTGGATATCCATTTTGTTGGAAGATGTTGTATAGGTGGTCTGTTTCCTTTTTCTGCTGTTCTGGGTTGCTGCAATGCGTTTTACTGCTCGTTTGAATAATGTTGTTACACAGCTCCTCTTGTGGGAGGTTGGGTTGTTAACAATGCATTGCAGCAACCCAGAACAGCAGAACTATCCCAAAGGATAACATTACTGAGTGGGAAGAATTATAAAGACCATGTGAAAAATACAATAAATCTACCAGTCATTGTCCATTCTTTGGTTTTTCAAAAATCTTGTTCACTGACTGTTTTTGGAAGTGCTCTGTACATGATTACATCATGTTATATCAAGAGCAATCTGTGTGCACAGACATATACCCAACTTCATGGTAGGGGCATAACAAAAGTCAAGATGGCAATCATAACCCCAAGATCGAAGCCCCTTCCCTTTTTTACATGCAACATGAGACAGAATGAACATCATATTCCCTCTAACAGTATAATATAATAAACAAGGGAATATTGCTAACCAGGATGCCATCAACAAATATGTATCACAAAAGAATAACTACAGGTAGTCCTCGGCTTATGTCCATTCATTCAGTGACCATTCAAAGTTACTGTGGTGCTGAAAACATGGACTTATGACTGATCCTTGAAGTTCCAGCTGTTGCAGCACCCCCATGGTCACATGATTGGGATCTGGGCACTTGGGTGCCCTCCTTGGGATTATGAGGTCAGGACAAGCTGCCGTCATGTAATTGCGATTTGTGACCTTCCCTGCCAGCTTCCCACAAGCAAAATCAATGGGGAAGCCGACAGAGTAGGTCGAAAGGTGCTTCAGTAAGTCACTCGCGCCATTTTTTTCTCCTGAGGAGCCTACTATGGAGTATGACATCCCAGGGATCTCATACTCCATAGCACCCCACACACAAACACACCTGCACCCATGTGCCTGCCCACATCACCTCCTGCCCACAGCCTCTGCCAACCCTCCCAAGGCCTTCAACAGCCCTCCCAAGGCCTTCACTGACCCACACACGGCCTCTGCTGACCTGCCCATACTCCATAGCACCTGCCTGTGGCACCACCCTCCCATTCCTGGCCTGAGACTCTCACCTCTTCCCACTTAATGACCCACGTGGTCCTAGAGTTATGACAGCAACTGGGACTGCCAGGATTGCCATTGCTAAGTGATGCGGTTACATGACATCACACTTTACGACTGCATTGCTCAGTGACAGCAATCCTTGTCTCAATTGCCATCGTAACCTAAGGATTATCTAGTTTTAATGAGACTACCAGTATCATGATATGGACTATAGCAAAAGCTTAACAAAGCTTTAGACAAACTGTTATAAAAAAAATTGAATTTCTCAAAAGGAATAGATAGGGAGAGCTGAGTCTGGCAGGCAACCTGTGAAGTTGAGAAATCTGTGTTCCTCAACCTATACCTGTCCATTTGATTTTTGTTATCTAAATGAAGGACTTTACATTTGTCTCTGCTGTATCCCATTCTGAAATTTTCACCCATTTCCACATTACAATATGGATGTATGCCTGAAACTTTAGGCTTAAATGGCAAATCCATACTATCTTCTCCTATCAAATTGTGCACACACAGCCCACTAAGAGGGAGAGATGCGAAATTATCTCTGTGTGGTTCAGAATGGGTGATAAAGTGTACAGTAAAAGAAGTATGTTTCAAAGTGGGTAGCACTAGGAAACACAAGAAAGCTGCGGTTGGTTCAACTGCTAGTTGATCACTGAAAGCAAAAAAAAAAAAAAATACAGTGGACAATGTACATGACTATACATATTTTAATTTCTTTTCCCACAGACAATTCAGCATTAACTAATCATGAAAGACAAGAGGACGTTTCTTACAGTGGTAAATAAATGTGATGCATGCTCTCTCCTCTCAAGTTTTTGTAAGAAATGTTTACAAACTGTTGCTTGAAATGACATTGTTGTGCTTGCTGGACTGTGAAACTCAATGCAAAAACCATCTGCCCACCTACCTGCCTGCATACCTGAGAGTCTCTTTAGATTCTCCAAAAGGAGGATAGAATATGATGAGCACAAAACTAACTTCTACCATTTCTCCTGGATATCAAGGTCAACATCATATAAAGGAAAAGCTGAACCAGCCAACCTTTGCAGAGGGCAAGCATAAGAATATGTTTGCCCAAGAACTATAAAGTTATTATTCAGGGCAAAGAATCTAGTTGAGATTTTATTTACAAGGTATTTGATGCAATGTGATTAATAATGAACACATCTCCACGATAAGATATATCTTATTGTTTAATTTATAGAAGAAAATAGAATTTATTTATGGGCTTGATACCCATTTCAGTATCATAAGAACATCTACACCATCTAGGCCCATCTAGGCCAGCAATCTGTTCTCACAGTGACAAACCCACTGCCCAAGGAAGCCCACTAGTCTCCCAGCAGATGGCCTTCAGAGCCAAGGCTAATAGCCATTGAGCCCTGTGACTTCCATGAGTTGGTCCAACCTTTTTTGAAGCCAGCCAAGCTGGTAGTGAATTCAAAAGTGTAATTAGATGTTGTATAAAAAAATATATATATATATCTGTCCTGATTCTTCCAAGTTTCAATTTCACTGAGTGACCTCTGCTTCCAGTGTTTTGGGAAGAATAAAATAGCTTCTCCTCGCCCCCTTTATCTACACCACAGATAATTTGTAGTCCTCAATCATGTCCCCTCCCTCTAGACATTATCTATCTATCTATCTATCTATCTATCTATCTATCTATCTATCTATCTATCTATCTATCTATCTATCTATCATCTAGCTAGCTAGCTAGCTATCTCACAACTTTTTGTCATAGGAAACTTGCTCCAGCCCCTTGATCATCTTAGTTGCTCTTTTCTGAACCTTCTCTAGTTCCACTACATCCTTTTTGAAGTGCAGCAACCAGATTGAAGAGAATACTTTCAACTGACTTAGAAAGCATGTATTACTACAATTCTCTTCCTTAAAAGGGAGACATAGGGAAACCAAAAAATTCAAGTTCTTCCACACTAATTAAAAAGCTGAAATTGGAATTATAGATTTATAACCCACTTTTCAGCAATGTTTTTGTAAGATGGAGCATCACCTGAAAAATATGTTTTGCATGACCAAAAAGACATACAAAAGGAATGTTTACTTTATATAAAATTTACGTATGCTGAATTACATGGAAACACAAACATAGACAAAAAAATCCTATAATTTAAAAACAGGTAATGTATCCTTCAGCACAATGAAGGGTGTGATCAGTTGAACTTTTTGTTTTTTACGGATGGACAAAGTCTATGAAAAAAGGAATGTAAAGAGTTGCCCCCAAACTCTGCCTGTAAAGAGCAAAGTCAGAAAGGTGGGTGGGGTTTCAAGGAGAACAAGGCCTTCATCAATGGCTAAAAGCAATGGTCTAGTATCTTGGCAGCCCAAAACATATCAGCTGCTGGAAAAAAAATGGGGCATTTAAAATCCATATTCAACAACAGATGGGAGGCATGAAAGAGACAGAAAGAGAGAGAGAGAGAGAGAGAGAGGGAGAGACCTTATATCCACTCTCTTGAACATATTTACAGAAACTAGTATTATGATGGGGGAGAGGTATTCACTCCCATTTGTAATCTGTTCTTCTAATTCACATGGGGGAAGCATCTTAATCTTCTTAAATTCTGGCAGAAATTGTTTCTGTGTGCATACATGCAGCCAAGATACTGCTATTTACTGCAGACTTTGGAATAGGGGAGGAAATCAGATTTTTTCCCCCTTCCATTAAGGCTGCTTGCCTGCCATCTAGTGGTTGTGCTGAAATATAGAAAGCCTAACAAATTACTTGGGGCGGGGGGGAATGCCTTCAACCCCTGGCACTACAGAAGTCCCTGCAGTTTTTTTTGGCAAGAATTCAGAAGTGGCTTGCCATTGCCTCCTTCCTAGGACTGAGAGAGAGTGACTGGCCCATGGTCACCCAGCTGGCTTTGTACTTATGGTGGAACTAGAACTGGGTTTTCCGAGAATTCTTTGAGAATTCTTGCATCAAGGGTGGATGGGAGGGGGTGCTGTATTTCAGATGTTTAAAGATGCACAGGTGTTGTAAAGTGTGTGAAATAAAATAACTACCTTCATTACATACAGGTATTATTTTGCCAGTTGTCATTGCCCTAATAGTAATAAGTGTCATCGTATTCCTTTTAATGGCTTTGTACCGAATGTGCTTGAAGACAACACCAGGTATGTATGTACATGTATATTCTTTAAAAAATAAAAATGTAAATGTATATAACATAATAAAACACACAGATGTAGGATGAGGGTATCTGGCTTTATAATACAGTACTTGAGAAAATATCTTGGATGTCAACTGAATGTGAGTCAGCAATGTTAGGTGACTATTTTAACAAAATAGTTTCCAAATCATGAGAAATACAATTTTTTTCTACTTGATTCTACTTTGGTGGGATTCCATCTGAAGTATGGCAGGCAGTTCTGAGTGTCCCACTTTAAGATAGGATTTGGAGAACCTGGAACAGTCCAGAGATGGCAACAAGGAAGATAGATATATAGATATAGATATAGATATATAGTGAAATGGGAAGCATATAAATTTGATTAATAAAATAAATATAAATCAATCAATCAATCAAGGAACCACAAACTAAAAGCTATAATGAGAAGTTGAAGGAGCTGATAATATTTAGCCATGAGAAGATCAAGGGAGAATATTATAGCAGTCTTTAAATACATGAGAGGATGTCCCATGGAAGATCAAAAACTGTTCTTAATTGCTGCAGAGTATAGGACACAGAACAATGTGTTTAGTGACATACTGGACAACCATTTGTGGGGGACCCTTGACTTTGGATTCCTGCATAGAGCAGGAGGTTGGATTTAATGGTGTAAAAGTCCTCTTTCAGGTCTAGTAGCCTCTGCTTCTATTTGCTGGAAACCTAACCTGATATCTGTTAAAGTGCTTCTGAGATTAGGTGAAGGAAGATGTGGAGCCCTACAGCTAGAGATTGCCCATCCTACCTATTCTTATGAAAACTGCTAGAAAAACTTTCTTATAAAGATATGGAAATCAAACTGTAGCACCCATGGCTAAAGACTGCTATATACCTCACAGATTAGATTTCAGATACCATTCACAAAAACAACTTTAAAAAATGAACCAGAAATAAAACAATTGGAGCCAGTTCTAAATATTCTTAGAAGAAATTATAATTAGATTCATATTGATCCAGAAAGTTCATCTATAAAACCTGTAAAAATTACTGATTTTAGACCACACTCAAATTTCATATTTTATAGAGTTCTCTATATAAGAAGGGCAAAAATCCTGGTACATAAAAGAAAATATTTCTCACATACCATGTTGGACTAGAAATATAGAAAGATAATGTAACATATCATGGTGGACTAGAAAGATAATGTGAATTTAAATTCCTTCCAGAGAGGCAAGAGAATGGAACTGAACAGTAAGTTATTTCCCTTTTCTTCCATCCATTCTGCTCATTTATGTTAAAACATGTTAAGCATGTTAGGTCACAGTTTCTCTAACAAGCCAATTTTGAAAAGAGTGATGTTGTTCACCTGACCTTTCAGCCCTCTACATTTATCTTTCAACAGTCTGGCCCCACTTCTTCCAGATGAATGTAATTTTGAGAGTACAAAGGCAGGGTGTGGGAGTTGAAGTTACATAACTTGTATGCAGTTACTCCATGGAGTTTCAAGTCAGCTACATGCTCTTTCATGTGTACTTTGATTCTCAGTGTGTGACGAGCTGCAACTGCTCTGTACTCATAGTCATTGTTCTACTTTGTGCAGCAATAACATTTCTCAGAAAACTTTTTTTAAAATTCCCTGCTACACACACACACACTTCAGAAAATGTAACTTTGCAGAATTTCATCCAAACATTTTCTTCTATGTCTGCATATAATACATGACAATTACTATTTTCAGGGTACAAAAAACCAGATTACTGCTATCACTTGCAGCTAAGGAAGAGAGGGAGACAGTTTTATCACCCTCATTGTTAGTATTCAGCCCCATCTTGGAGAAAATATTGGAGAATTTGTCTCCAACCTTGTCACTGAAAGAATTCGGAAAAACGACCCCATTTCTCAACCCACAGATGCCTAGATTTTCAAGGAACCCCTTCTCACAACTGTCTAAGTCATAGTTACTGGTTCAGTTTACCAGCATAGGCTTGTTTGGACTCTAAAAACCCAGGATGAGAGAAGATGAGACAATTGACTTCTTCATTGTCTTCAAAACTGTCTATCATTCAGGCCATGACTTTTATGGTAATTCACTGAACAGTTTTAGTGCTTGTAAAGTTGTTTGCAGACCACCTGACCTGATTTATCATCCCAATTCATGATGAAGTTCTGGAACTCTAGAGAGCATTTCCAATTCTCTAACAATCCTTACCTTGTCTAGACTTGGGTTTACTCTTTCCTGGTTGGAGACTGTTCCAAAAATTCAAGTTTGCACAGACCTAATTGTAATCTTTTTAATTAAATTGTTGATTAACTAATCCAGATGGATGTCTTTGAAAGTTTCAGCATGTTCTTTACTGCTGACCCAAATGCCAAGCTGACATCTGTAAAAACAATAGTACCATTTTTAAAATCCTCTTTGAAATCATTCATTTACCTCTGGAAAATCTTCAAGGCAATCTTGATAGTATTCTCCAAATGGGATTATGAATATTGTTTGCTTGGCTTTGCTTTGCTTTCAACTAGGCTTGGGTTTTACCCCACTCCCCAACCCTGTCCAGTTTAGAAAATGTAGAACTGCAGTTTTATGTGATATTGACAAAGAAAGTGCACCAATTATGGGTGTGTTTTGTTACAGTCATTAGTTATATGTGGGAAAGTCAAATGCAAGTTGCTAAGACTTTCCAAAACACCTCAGGTTGTAATCTAATGCTTTTCATATTAATTCAATGACATCCCCCAGAATTAAATGATTCTTCCTAATACATTTGCATTGGAGCGGTCCGTGAAG